GATGAAACGAATCTTAGAGGTACGTTTTCAATAACTCCCACTAAACAAAAAGCCATAACATTGCTTTCATTTGCTTTATGCTTTTTTCATATATCATGCAAATAAAAATTGAAATGAGAAATGTCCTGTTACTATCATACGCTATACTGTAGTGGTATGCTGCAAGGTTGAGTATTAACAGTACTGAATACATTGGTTGACTAGAAGGAACTGAGGCACGTCCTTTGCCCGCTTCAGGTGAACTTCCCTCTAGAACATCTTAGTACAGCTTTCATTCTTAGGGAATATAGGAAGAACCTTCCATATGTTGTGGTTCAATTTTATCCTCCCTTTAAACTTTATTTTTGTTTATTCTGTGGTATGGTAATGTGTGATAAGTAGTTTGAAACAAAGGAAAATACAATTTAAACCTGAATTCAAATTTCGCCGTTTCAAACTGATTTTATCAGCTTTTTCAATATAAGGAAAAGCGTAATATTCTTGTCTAGAATTGGACACTACAGTCAATAGGATGAATGACGCAAAGGTCGCTACCTTGAGAGATAAAGGATCGGAAACTCGGAAGGAACAACAACAATTTCACCCTCCAAACAAGTCATTTTAATTTCTTATCATAACTTTCTCGCAGCAAATCTTACAATTGAGCAGCTGACTATTGGGTGAGAAGGGTAATTCGACTTGCTGTCTCCAGCCTGTCATGGCAGGACCTAATATGAAATCAATTTTCAACAGTAGCCTCGATTTTCAGTCGCAAGGTACTAAATCTCTAATTCTTAACAAGTAAAAGGTCTCCTGAAAAATTGGGAGATAAGTATGGGCTATGAGGAGTTTAGTTTATAATTACAACATGTCCTTGCTCAGTTATGGAAAACGTACATTTACTAATTTCTAAGTATGCGCCCACAGTCCAAGTTCACTTTTGTTTAATTATAAATAATTCATAAAACGATCATGTGCGAGGTAGACCATTGGGCATATTTTTATATTTTCTAACAAAGCTACGCTTTTTTCCCTCCTTTTTCGAACCGGTAGCTCTTATCAAAAAAGGCTATTTCTAATTAAAAAGTAGTGTTTACTTCAATTTAGAACTGAAAGCGGAAATTTGTTAGATTTGAATGTATATTTGTTTAAATAAGTTGGCGTGCAGTTAAGTGGTAGCTGTAAAGCGAACTGCTTTGATTGAAACCCAATAACCGTCACAGTGGTAGAAATGAAATAATTTATTACTGCGGAAGCTGCGGGGGGTGGAGGGGGGGGGCGGGCGGGCAAGTGAAGGCGTAGCTACCTACGGTAAAACTCTATACATTTGGCCCGCCTAAAGGGCGTGGTTTTTTCGCTGCGGTTAATTTTGGTCTCACAAAAGTATGGATTTTGCCCAGTGCAATATATGATGTGAAATCCGTATGGTTTTCTAGGGAATTACGACAGCATATAAATTTATCTGTTTTTGCTCTAAATGAATAAGATCCAATGAGAAATTTCGTTTCAGAATTACATTCTACAATGGTTTTACTTTTCTACTATTCTTAAAGCTTTTTAAAATGTCAACAGTAAGATGATGATGATGATAATAATAGTAATGATGATAGATTCTTTTGCCTTAATCTTCAGATAACTTAACAAGAACAGATCATGGGCAACTTCCTACCGACTTTATATGGCAGTTATTTGGCGCTAATGTAATCACTTTCGTGGCCTCATTATTTGGCAATTCAGTTATCATTCACGTCATAAGAACAGACCATTCCATGAAGACTACCACAAACTATTTGATCTTGAATCAAGCTTGTGCTGATATTTTGACGACAACCCTTCAGACATTCAGCTATTTTTTACTTTCTCTCGGGAGTAAGTGGTTTGGAGGATTATGGGGAGATATCACGTGCAGATTGTTAAAAGCGAGCGTTGTTATTCTTCCTGTTTTCTCTGTTTGGATTCTTGTTGCCATTGCTGTTGATCGCTTTTATGCCGTAACGCGACCTTTCATGACCTCTCCTTTATCTCGTCATTTCAAGAAATCAGTTGTCTTTCTGTGGGTTTGGTCTATTGCTTCTGCAACTTACTACGTTCCCTTAGCCAAGTTAGAAGTAAGAACTGGCGGTCATTATCATTGCAACCTGAATACTTTTCCAGTTGAAAAAAAGCATGCGGACGCCTGGAGAGCAATCGGAATCTCCGAGCTTGTCCTTAACTTTTTCCTTCCTCTTTTGCCAATCATAGTTCTATATTCAATTGTTTGCCTTAAACTATGGTCACGTGACATACCAGGAGAAGGAACCAATCAGAATGAGCGGCAAGCCAAAGCGTTGAAAATAGCTAAGAAAGTGACCCGGATGATGATTGCTGTGGTGGTGTTATACCTACTCTGTCGGCTGCCTTACTTCGTTATGATTTGTCGCAGTATTCTTCGTTATGGTTATATCAAAGTAAATCCTAGTTTGCTTTTGTTTATCGTTTGGTTAACAATCGCTTACAGTGGACTTAATCCATATGTTTATCTCACATTTAGTCAAAAGTACCGAAATGGTTTTAAACTTTTATTTGCGGAATGCCTTGGAAAAGTCCACAATTTCGTTTCTGCTCGTTCTCAGAGCGTAGAGTTGGAACAAATATAAAAACAATATGATTTTGTATGTTCGGTCGGTTATACAAAGGAGTTCGAAATCTGCAACTGTTGTTATACTGCCAAAAAAGTATGTGTCACGAAGCAGAATAGCTCACTGAATTAATTCAATAAATTAAATGTAAAGTTTTATTTCATTGTTCTCAACTGAGTACATAGAACTTGCCTGCCTTTCAAAATACTTTGCTTTGATTTACACCTTCCTTGCTCAAGGCTTCTGAACATGCATGTAATCAAAACTGTTATTTAAAGCTCCAGAGATAAGAAATCATTTTGATGGCGGCAACGAATCTTAGAAGTACGTTTTAAATAACTCCCACTAAATAAATAGCCATAAAATTGCTTTGTTTTGCTTTATGCTGTTTTTTTGTCATGCAAATAAAACTGAAATGAGAAAACTCCCGTAACTATCATACTGTGCTGGTAAACTGCATAGTAGCGTATTAATAGTACTGAATACATTGGTTGAGCTAGAAGGAACGAGGCACGTTCTAGGCCCGAGTCAGGTAAACTTCCCTAGAATAGCTTTGTACAGCTTAGTAAGAAGCAGGGCTGTTTTGAAAAACAACACCAGATAGAACCACAAGTGGGAAAACAATCATACATTATATTTTTAAAGTTTTTATACGACAAACTAAAACATTACCTACAAATTACCATTTTTCGTAAGAAACTCCTCACTGTTCAGGCAAATTAATACTTCCTCCACCACTACGCCCTTAATGTAAATAAAACTAGTCTATGTTTTAATAGCTCCCCAAAGAATGATTGAATGAATGAAAGAATCATCTATTTCTGGTTTTCAGTGTGGGAAGGGCACACAGAGATGTAGGCAGGCCTTTTTTTCCCGCTCTCTAGCTTCTCACAACACCCATTATCTAAACGTCTGCAACAGTCTACTTCATACAAAAGTATTTTATATATTTTCTTACATTTCAGTCAGTTTGGATGCCACAATTTGCTTTTACTGAATAAAAGAGGATTGCTATTTTTATCGTTAGGTTCACGACTCTTGGATTATACAAATTCTATCCGCACAATAGGAGCAAACTCAAACTATTTATTTCTTCACAGTGATGCAAAATGCATTACTTTTTATTAGTAATAGGCTAGCACTTCCCTTTGTAATTTTAATCATATTCAGCAGGAGGCTAACGATAACTTATATAATAATCATGTGTTGGTAATTTTTTTTCTTAGTTTTAGTTCTCATATTTTTTTGAACAACGGACGAGGAAGTAAAAAATGGACTTGATAAATAGAACTCATAGAGGTATGAGCCTTCCATGCGCGGTCAGTCACTTCATTATTGCAAGAGTAATATAAGTCTTACACACAATCGGTATTTTTTGCTATTTTGTAGATATATGTTTAAGTTTTCCCTACTTTAATGCAACTGTCCTTAAGACGTTCTCTAAAAGACAGTGGCAAATATCACAGTGCAGAGATAGTAAAAACCGCCGACTGAAGCCGAACGTGTTTGTACGTTCTAATAATATATAGATTCCGACGGCCGGCTAATGTTCACCTTTTTACTTGAAAGTTTAAAACGTTGTAAAGGAAATTGAAAAATATAAACTAGAGCCAGCTGGCAAATGTTGAACCAAGTTTATGGAACGTTGTCACTCACGTGGCCAGCATCTATGCAAAGTTATGGGAACAAAAGAAAGCAGGATTGGCTTAGAACACCAGCATGGCCGCCGTTTCATTGTTTTGCAACACCAGGGAGTTTTAGCAGCGACGACGGAAGGGGCAGCGAAAATGTCACTTTTAAAATAAATTAGCGTTTTTTCAAACGTTGTCGCGTTTATTCCAATTTGCTGAAAATATCTAAAGTAGGCAAATTTTCCTGGAGTTGATTTCTTGGGGACCGCACTCAAGTTTAGAAAAAGAAAGATAACTTCGTCGTCGCCTTGTTTACGTCCGTCATAAAACGTAAAATTAGGTATTTTCAAGTCGTAGTCGTGCAGTAACGGCCGGCAAAGAAGTGTACAAAAAAGCGTAATACACGTGCAAACTTGTTGTTTTGCTTAATAAACCTATTGCTGTTATGACGTTCTCGTCGCCGTCGCCGTTGTCGTTGCTAAAACTCCGTACCAACATGGCCGCCGTGACTTCGTGTGAACGCTCTATAATGGGAAGATGTGGAAGTGCTAAACTGGCAAGACTCTGTTTTACAATGCGCGTACAAATCAGCTCTAGTTATTTTCTTCTTTTAATCAACCATGTATAGAAGTATGCACCGTTTAATTTTCATAATTAGAGACATAACAAATATACCCTTTTCCTTTTTGTAGACAACGTTACTGGAGTAACAGAGAAAATGCCTCCTCAGCAACAAATGTGGTTATCATTGGCCCACTCCATTATAATCACAATGTCGTTACTTGGCAACTCAGTCATCATTCACATAATAAGATCCGACAACGCCATGAGGACCACCACAAATTTCCTCATTTTGAATCAAGCATGCGATGATTTGTTGATAACAATCACACAGTCAGTGAATGTGTTCCATCACATCTATCTTGACGGTTTGTGGATTGGGGGACTGTTTGGCCAAATCACATGCAAATTACATCTCGTCATCCTGTCCATTGCACCGTATTTTTCAGTTTGGATCCTTGTACTGATCGCAGTTGATCGCTTTTGTGCGGTGAATCGACCGTAACAATTATCGCCAATCTCCCGACATTTGAAAAAAGCCATTCTCTTTATTTGGCTGTGGTGTTTTGTTTGTTCAATAAACGTCCTTGTTAACGGAGGCTTGGAAAAAGACAAACGAGCTTGGCGTTGTGACTTGGAAAGTGCCGTAAATAATTGGACAGCTGTTAATGTAACTGATGTTTCTTTGAACTTTTTTCTTCCACTGTTATTAATAACGGCACTATACGCTGCTGTTTGTATCACACTCTGGTCACGTGAAGTTCCAGGAGAAGGAGCCAATCAAAACGCGCAACAAGCTGAAGCCATGAAAACGGCCAGAAAAGTCACCCAAATGATGATTGTTGTGGTAATCTTATTTGTTCTCTGTTGGCTTCCATACTTAATAATAGTCTTTTTACAGCTATTTGGCTCCATGAAAATTAGTCTACCAGTAATGTCATTCATAGGTTGTTTAGTGCAGTCGTACAGCGGACTTAATCCATTCATCTATGTAACATTCAATCGCAACTTTCGACTTCGTTTCAAGCAGCTTGCCAGACATTTTGCCGGGAAAGTACTCTGTTTTACTCCGCGATTTCAAAGCTTTGAGCTTGGGGAAATTTAAATGAAATTTGAAATCTTTCCGCTTGCTCTTATAATGATGGATGCATGATGTCACATTAGTCAATTTCCATATCTCCCATAATACACCTCGTTTTGCCCCATAGATTTTGCATAAACTTTGTCTTTATAGATGCTTTTCATTTCAGCCATCCCAAGAGAAATTGAAGGCAATGCTTATGCAAAATTTTGGTGAGCAAACAAGCTGTATTATGGGAGATACCTGGAACAGTGTAATGTGCAAATGGCGAATTAAAAAATAATGACCAGACAACAACAGCCCAATGTAATTTGTGGTATCATTATTTCTTTCTGAATGATGTTTATTTAAATTTTGATTTTATCCAGGAATAATTTTCTGCTTTGGTGACTGTCAAAGAGTTGTTGAGGCCTTAAATGTAAATGTAATAAATGTTCCCAAATGTACCAAAGGTCCTGAGTGTAATAACTTTTGGTCCTAAATGTAATAAAGTGTAATAACTTTGGGTCCCAAACATCGTAAAGTCACTAACTGAAACATGTAACTGTCTGATGCGATAACGTCATTAGGCAGGAGATTCACTTTCTATGCCTCATTGTGTTATTAAAGAAAAGCAGCAAACAACAAAATCATAAATGATCATGATGATATTGGTGAAATTTATCTGAAACCAGAACAGAGCTCTTAACAAGCCGTATACGCCCGGCCGTGTTAAATCTGGGCCTGATATTAGGAAAAGAGGAAAAAATAACTGGGGGGTTAAACCATGTGTCATTTGTTTCTGGATTTGGTGGTACGGGGGTAGATTGGTAGCGGTGACCGGCTGCAAGTAGTGCGATATTTTTGGCCATTGCCATTGCTTGAATTGTTTCAGTCAGGAACTTTCTTACATTTAGAGCCATAATTAATAATATACACGAAAAAATTACTCCTAACGACAATTTTTTATCGACTTTTGGTTCATCCCGTTGTCTCCACTCTCCCCCCAGTAATGTTGTGGCCAACTGAAAGCACTCATTTCCACCCATTTTGCTCAAAATTCAACTTTTTGCGGGGTGGGAGGGGAGGTGTCGCTAGTTTTGCTAATATCATTGGAAAGGTCCCAACAGTTTTGATCTCCATTGCAGCCCTCAGTCCGTAATCCACAGTTCGCAGTCCACGTTTGATGCCAAGCGACCGCTCCTTGTCAACTTTGTCGCAAAGCTTCCTGGGGGCGTCCCCTTTTAAACTTTAATGCGCATGACTCAAGCATTTTTCTCTTGGAACAGTAAATATGGGGAATGGCTACGAGTTTGCAGGCGAAAATTGAGAGTTTGGGCGAAAAATTACGGGAAGAAAACAAATTAAGGGAATGTGAACTGCTGGAAAAAGATGTTCAACAATCCACCTGCCCAAAGAAGCCTCTTTTGAGTCTCGATCTACCAACGAGTACCCGTCAACGTCGACCAGGTGAGTTGATTGTAAATCTATAGGCCACCATGAAATCTTCAACAGACGTTCCAGTGTATTTTGTCTTTGTGGAATTTAGCTTGTTTTGTCGGTGAATAAGAGTTAGAGTGACAGGATTTTGTAGTGTGATTAAGGTGTTTTCGCGTTTTAAAAGCCAAATTTTTGGATAAAGATCTTGCAAGTGCATGCGTTTAATGAGTTTAATACTAGTGTTTATACTGCTTTGTATACTAAAAGAACTTGGCAGATGGTCATTCATATATTTGAATGAGGTGTTATAAAATTCAATTTGAATGTGTCGTAGCTTTCTCTAACGTAAGTTAGAATTTATGTCAAGATGTGATTGATCAGTTTCGATAGGTCTTAATAGCTTGAATAAAGGCCAATGGAGCTCAGTTAAAAACGTGTTTAATCTTGTTTTGTAGATTAGAGTTCGTCTCTGTTCTATTCAACAGTAGTTGAAATATGGAACAGAAAAGGGATATCAATAAATCTTTCATGTTAGTTTACTGTTTCGTTTGTACTTATAACAGTGTTTGAAGAAAGGAAAAAGATGTTAGTAGTGTATCACTGAATTTAGATATACATGTACTGAAAAGCACTCAGTTACTGGAAGAAAGGCAGTGTTTTTAGCTTAAAGAAAGGGATATTAGTATTGCTATACAAGGTACATAAATTAATTTGCATGGTGATCATGTTAAAAACAATAATCAAAACATGCAAAGTGATTTGTTGTTAGTTCTAGGCTACACTAAAAAATTTCCTATAAATGCTGTAATTTTAATGCTCCCAGTAAGTAAGTGAATGAAAGAGCTCTGATCTGTTCTATCTTATCTGCCACAGGCAATTTATGTGTTCCATCCCAGCCAAGGTCGGGAAGACAGCGCCGTTGTCCAAGAGCAACAGGAAGTCGAAACAAAGATGATGACAGGTACATGATATTTTATTATTTTTATTAATTTTCTTTACATAAAATAATAATATCGTCAATTAGGCTTAACAAATTTTACATACACGGTAATATTCGTGTGGGCAATGATAGTTTAGTTTATGTGTTTTGAGGTTCAATCTTATTCTGGGTTCAAATTTTATTTTCCTTTTTTATGAGCATTGTTATGTATGAGAATGAGTGTAAAGCAAAAGAAAATGAAATGAAAACCAGGGATTAAATTGAACCACAACATATAAATAGGGTGGGAAAAGCAATTTCTTGGAGTATTTCTTCTGCATTTTTTGTACATTACACTGTATGTGCTGTCCAAGTGAGAAATTTCATAGTACCGGTAATTCTATTTTTTAGTTGTTTTATAATCTATTTGGAAACCAGAAACATTCAAATAAAGATCTCAGAAGACTACAAGAACACTCTTTATTTGAACTTTGTGACTTTTTAAGGCTTTGTTCTACAGAGGAAGTGCTCAAAGTAACCACAGCTATTTTCAGGTTTATGATACAGCATACACTGTTAATATACATACAAATCTAGAATACAATAGGCATGACATTGATCAATTTGGTCTGAATTACAAGTCACTTACTTTTCTGAACAGTACGTAGTAGATGTTTCCTGTATCCCCTTCTTTTAGTGTTGGGTTTGTCAAGAGCACAATATTAGCAATAAATTAAGTTGCTGTTTTTTTTAGAGGTTTAATATTAATTTGCAATTAAGTTGCTGTTTTCTACACTGCAGTGCTCAAATTGAAATAAAGCTTCAAGAAATTACCAAACAGACTGGAATCCTAAAGCTAAGGGATGCGGTTAGTAAAAACACAGTTTACATTGTAAATTACAGTAGTTGTAACTAAGGTCATTATATTTTTCATGTTGTCTCAATCAATTTTCCTAAGGCAAGAGCACTGTAAATATATATTTTGTGGTTCAATTTTATCCTTGGTTTAAATTGTATTTCCCCTTGTTTTAAACTCATTATCATGCATTACCATACCCAAAAACAAAGGGAAAAAAATACGAACCAAGGATGAAATTGAACTGCAATATACAGTATACAATAAACATAAATGTCATGTAATGGAATTTTTTTTATAAAGCTTACAAGTACAGTGTTTTTGTATGTCCATCAGAGCTTTGGTTTTACTATTGATGATTTGGAGGCCATTGAAGAGATTGGAAGTGGAACATGTGGCCAAGTGTGCAAGATGAAGCATAAACAAACAGGAGATGTCATGGCAGTCAAGGTACAGACCATAGGCTTTTTCCCTTCAATTAGCAATACTTGACTTCCTCAATTAAAGTAATTTCTTTAAGCAGATGTGGTTAGAACTCCATGTATACAATGAACAGCCCTATTGACTGGAACATCCGTGACGTTTAAAAAACAAACAGTTCATTAGATAATTTTTTTTCCCAAAAGAACGATGTTGTACAGTCACATAGTCGTTCAAATATTTGCATCGTCTATCAGTGCTTGCAGTGCAGTGTTCTGTAACGGTTTGAATTGCATTGCTTAACTTACATACGATGATAACTTTTACCCGCAAACAGAAAATGCGACGGAGTCAAAACAAAGAAGAACAGAAGAGAATTCTAATGGATCTTGAAGTAGTTATGAAGTGCCACAGCTGCCCATTCATTGTCAATTGCTTGGGATCATATATTTCCAGAGTGAGTCCCTTCTTGTTATTGTTGAAGGTTACTGACTTTTGTTCATTCATTATTTTTGTATCCTGTTTAAAAACAGGCTGTTTTTTCAGTGTCATCTTTTCACTAAAACTGCAACCTTATCAGAATGCAGCTTCAGGATTTTGCTTCTGTGCAAAGAAATGCTATTTCTGATACTCGATATAATGATGCCATCATGAAAATGTCCACGTTTTTTTTTTCAGCTGAATTTGCTCAAGTGTAGATTGAAAATGTTATTGTAGCATGAGTACTATTTTAATTTTATCGAGGTTTTATTTACATGTATTTGTGTATTATTTTGGTAGTCTGATGTGTTTATTTGTATGGAATTGATGACAACATGCCTGGATAAGTTAATGAAGAAACTTAGTGGACCAATTCCAGAAGAGGTGTTGGGGAAAATATCAGTTTCTGTAAGTATTGTGTCTAATGCATTTACATGTAACAGTTTGTCATTTACATGTAAGGAGTTTTTAATACTGTTGAACTTAAATACATGTAACTTTGCAAAATTAATTCCACATTCATCTGTTTTTACATGTAAACTGTACAATGTATGTTTTGTTTTCCTACTAGAGACCATGTGATGATAGCCAAAAAATTCTCTTTTTCAAAAAAGTGTTGTCTTATCCACATGCATGCATGCATGATTTATGAAAAGACAAAAGGCAAATTACCTTAAGAACATATCAAGTGGTATGAATTGGAAAAACAAAAAATACAAGCTGTAAAGGTCTTTTAATGATGTGTTCCAAGTAACATACAAGCAGAGTTTGTAACCAGTACTCAGTGAGTTCGTTTAATTGACTGTTCAAATAATAGTACATGTAACAGTATATTACGTACATTACAGTTTTCTTCACAATTTTCTGTAGCAACATTTTAGGCAATGATGTGTACACTTTTTGCGGTCTTTAAGCAAGGCAGATACTTGTATTTCATTGAATTTAAAAACAACTTTATTGGTGAAAATTTGAGAATAGCACTTGCATAATTATAAGTCTGAAATCCAGATTAGCTGAAATTTGTTGGTGCCAAATGCCCCAAAAGTTCTTTAATCCGCATAAAGAAGCTCACGTGGAAACTTTATGTCACACGGTGGATTTTACATTGTTTATTTATGCATGTATCCCTTCACTTTATTGGTGTATGAGCTGTTTCATTTGTATAATATGTACATGTGTCCATGTTTTTCTCAGATTTTGTTTAATTTGGTGATGCCATACGAACATGGCAAGGCCAGAGAAAATCAGTTCTTTAGCAGTGGGGGTAACTTTATATTAAATTGTAATCATTATGTACAACATGTTTGCAGTAAGTGTATTTTGTTTCAGATTGTAAAAGCTTTAAATTATCTCAAGGAGACTCATGGAGTTATGCACAGAGGTACATAGACTGTAACTATACCTGTCAGACAATAATGCCCTTGCTGTTATGTGATTGGATGCAATTTGAGATCAGTTATTGTCTTACAAATCACATCCAATCACGTACAGTCCACGAAAAATTTCATCTGTACAACACAACTAATAAAAAAATAATGCTTATTTAAGGTATTTACATTGCTTTGATAAAATCATGGAGAGCTCTTGAAATTTCATTACAGTCAACTCTCTCTTAATGGATACCTCATTAAAACTTACACCTATAGTTTGTTTCTTCCGCTCTTGACTCCTCTATAAGACAGACATCTCTAAGGCTGCTGCCTAAGAAAAAAAGTTTGGAGCCCAAGCCACATTCTAGGAGCCATGCACTGATCGATAACCTAAAATAAGTAAGCAGGTGCTCAAAACTTGATTCACGCGCCTCTAAACCCAATTCGTTCGAATTTCGTGAAAAGTGCTTCTTTGTTTACTTTTATCAGTGGAAATTTTTTTGCCTCAGTCAACGAACACACGTTTTAAGTTTTTGTTTCAAAAGCGCAAAATGAGCAGGGAATCTATTGCCATAAGAATCATAACTTTTAGGCACCCAGGCAGGCTCCTTATTTTAGTCACCCACGAGCAAATCATAGGAGCCTCTGGCGACTGAGTGCCTGTTAGGAAGCAGCCTTGATCTCTGTAAGATGGGCACAATATGGTACCAGTCTCAAAGGTTTCCGTCTTAGAGAGAATTCACTGTAAACACTTAATTTGTAATTTAGCATTACTAATAACAAGTAAGATATAAAAAGAGGAAATAGCATGTAGATAGTAAAAGATAACTTGAGCCAAGTCAGTGTAGGCTTCTCTGAAGTACTACATTTGTGTGTGTATGTCTAAAGTAGTTTCTAAAACTTATCAAAATATTATTATTCTCATTCCTAATATAGTCCTCTGAATTATTTGTGTAAGTGAAAAAAAATGTCAGGTGCAGTGTACATCAAGTCTGTATGCTTACTTAGGTCCAGTTTACATGTATGTGACAAACCAAGAGTCATGAAGAGATTGTTGTATTAACGAGGTGGTCATACATTGTATTACTGAAGTTGACTGAAGAAAGAATAATCAGGGTGGTTAAAATTTATTGTGGCATACTGTGGGGTTGTAAAAAGGACAATAAATAAAATGAAATTGTTCTGTTGTTTCTCTGATGAGAGTTTACAGACTGTAATCTGTTCATTGCTAGATGTTAAACCATCCAATGTATTGCTGGATCAGAACGGTGCGGTGAAACTTTGTGATTTTGGCATAAGTGGTCGATTGGTGGATTCTAAAGCCAAAACAAGAAGTGCTGGGTGTGCAGCTTATATGGCGGTAAGTTTTGTGCCAAGGTTGTCATTAGAACTTTTTCTGAGAGTGACCAAAATCAGTTTTCTCCCAACAACATCAAAAGATAATCAAGATAAAAGGTTACGACAATTAATAAAAATCAATGGCAATCTAAAGGATTACATTCTCTCAACTAATAATTAGGAAATATGTGGATATGAGGGTTCTAGCTTTTAACCCTTTAAACCCTCAGATCAAAATTTGAATTCTCATTTGTTGCCCCTATTCACTTCCTACAGAAGTAGTGGGGAGAAGGTGATAAAATATCAAGCAAATTCATCTTGTGTGATCATGTCCGTAATTCTCATGACCACTCTGTTTCACAAAGCATTGATATTACATGCAGAAATTTGATGCTGATCACTCTTATGGCTTAAAGGGTTAAGTGGCTCTTTCTAGCAGCTTCAGTGGTTTGTTATCTGGTTTATATCAAAAGGTTATCAAAACGTGGAAGGGACGTGTCATGACGTTGCTTCCCTTATAAAGGTGATATGTAATTCTTACCATCGCACATGTCTCAACAGCCAGAGCGCATTGACCCTCCGGATCCAATAAATCCAGATTATGATGTCAGAGCAGATGTGTGGAGCCTGGGAATAACTCTGGTGAGGAGAGCAAAGTTATGTAGACAATAATTCCGCAGTTTTTATTAAACACATGTTCAATTGTCTTGTAATTCTATGTGTTACTATACACAACTTCAGAAGGTTTATCTATGCATGCATGTGATTACCGATATGTTGCTAAGACCAGTTTGGGGACCTGTATGTATGACACTGATTTTGTAGCAACTAGTTATAGTGTGTCCTGGGACTCATCTTGCAAAAAATCATGAATCCCAGTTGAGAACCATTGAGTTCCAGTTCAAAAAACAATGAGTCCGAAACTGAATTTTTTGGGGCCTTTATGTAACGCAGACAATTAATCTGAAGACAGACTCCCAAACTCTGAATTACAGTTTACTGGAATAAATACTGACTCCTTCTATCGTAAAGCAAAACAAAGACTAAAAGAAATATACCTCGTTAAACAGCAGCCTCAAGAACAGCCACAGAAATCACACGAACAGGATATTCTACAAAAACATCTTCAAATCGATCGGTCGATGTTTGCGTCCCACGCGACGCATACCATGAATTATTTTGCGTCTTTGGCGCTTTTTATGCGTCAGGGACGCAGGATTCAGAGGTAACAAAATAACTGAGTATGACCAGGAAGAAAAGAAACTTTAATTTTTTATTATTAAACAAATGTTCTGTGCTGTTTGTCTTTTATTCCAACAGTGTTCAGCAGTCTTTTCTCATTCTTTTTTTTAATTTTTCTTTTTTACCTTAACGAATTACCTGGCCCGTTTTTGCCCTGTTGTGCGTTGTAGTGTAAATTGCTACGGTAGCAAAACGAACAAAACATGCATGGCATACATTTCTTTACAGTTAGCACACGCGCAAACGACCTGCTGCGTACAGAATACCTTACATAGTACTCTGCTCAAAAGATTCGTGGTGTTTTGGTGTCTTTCTCTATTTATTTACAGTAGCTTTGCAGCTGTATGTTTTGTTCCTGTGTTTCAGGTTGAGCTTGCCACAGGAGAGTTTCCATACAGGAACTGCACCACAGAGTTTGAAGTGTTGTCTCGTGTCATGAGTGAGGATCCCCCTGAGCTACCTAAGGACGGGAAATTTTCCAAGAACCTCAATACATTCGTGAGGACTTGGTAAGTGGAGATCAATTATCAGGGGCACCCAACGTCAATTTTCGGAAAATATCTGTTCGGAAGACGATTTGAGATCTAGAATTTTCGGAACATTTGTTGTAAAATTGCTTGCTTCCCTGCCTCCCCTTGAAATCCGAACAGGTGAAAAATTTTTAGGGGATAAAAAAATGCCTATATCTACTGTTTTAAAACTAAAAATACGTTTAACAATGCTATGTTTAAGTGGTTTTGAACTTTTTTCTCGTTGGGTGCCCCTGAATTATGTGAGTAAGACCTACTGACCATACAAGGTACATGTGAGATAGCGCATGCGTCGCACAATGGTTAAGTGAGCTTTGAGGCTACGACCGAGCATGCTCGGAAAATGCGCCGAACTCAGCTGCCGCTGACCGCCATGAGCATATCGGCTAATCTTTGTTGTTAACTCAGTTCCGAATTGCTTTTAACCACATTAAAAATTTTGCCGCTCAATGAAAACTCGAAAAGAGGCCACATTGCAAAAAGTAGCGGCCCATTCAAAAAAAAAAAATGAATGTGTTGTATTCAATACCTGAGCTAAGCTGAACTGAATACACTGTACTTTTTTCAGTGATTACTGTGAATAATCAAGTCCTATTTTGTTGGTTTGTTTTAAGTTTCTGTATATCAGCAATATTATAACAAAGATGTACTTTCCCATCTTTTTAGCTTGGTGAAGGACTACAGGCACAGACCAAAGTATAATAAATTATTGGTAAGTACTGTTTTTTTTGTTGTTGTTGTTAAACTGTATGGTGTGTAATTTCGATGCTCTTCGAGATTTTTCCTTCGCCCTAAAAAGACTGGCGCCTGCTACGCTGGCTAAATCAGGTACATCTGGCTTGCGAAAAGTTTTGCCTAATTCGGACCTTTTCTTTGCATCAACGGTCGAAGCTTCATACATGTATATCTAAAGTCAGTTCGATATTAATGTTATCCCCGCGAACAAGGATCAACACTCAAATATTTGGCCTCATCGATCGAAAACCATTTTGATTTTATGTGTTTTTTGCTCCCGCGGCCGAAGACGTTACAGCTGAAATTTTAGCGAGAAACCTTCTTCTTTCTTCATCTCAGCGTAATGTTATAATTACAATCTCATTTTCCCTAACATTATCCTCTGTATAAGTGCAGTACTGTTGTAGCTTCAACGCTAACGTCGATACTCACCTCTGCACTGAAACGTCCAGTAGATACATTTCATATTATGCTTGGTACCTTCTCTCTTGCTACTCTGGGTGCCAGAGACCACTTCGCCGTTTCGGCGTCGTCTCCCGTGGCTCCGGACTTCGGCCGAAGATCTGTCGGCCGACAAGAAGCATACTCAGGGTACTTTTCTACCAAACCTTGAACACTGTTACTTTTTTGTTTAACAGAAGCATCCCTTTATTCTTGGATTTGAACATAAAGAGGTCAATTTAGCGGGCTGGCTTGCTAGTGTTCTTGAAGATTCACACTTTCCTGGGACGGAAGTTTAGAGAGCGGTACCGGTAGAACTAAGGCGCAGATTTATTATTATAAAAACAAAGATTCTTTAGTTTAGAGAAGACATGTATTGTGAAAAACGAAATTATCCTATAGTTAAAGTTGCGTTCTCATCGTTTTTTTTATGTTTCTTGTATAGTTCATATTTGACCATGAAATCATTCGATAAATGCTGTATAATTGTTGCATGAAAAGTTATATTATTTTTTGTAGAAGACAAAAGTGAGTTTCTGCTTTGTCATTTCGATTATTGATGTGTACGGAACATGATTCTTGTAGAAGAAACAAATTATCAGACTTTTCAAAGTTTTCTCTAAGAGAAAGTCAACCCAATTCTGATTTTTTAAAAAAGACAATGAAAAAAGCTAGTGTAAAAAGAGGCAATGTCATCCATTTTGCTCTCACTCTGAAAAATGACACGTTTTCCCGGGGGAACATTAAATTGTCTAGTTCCGTACTAAATACGTTGAGGCTCCTGTTGTATAAAAAGGGAAATTGAACTATTTATTTTTGTAAAATGTTTCGTGCAGATCGCTGAGTTCAAGACTCCACCATTTCGATTGGGCACGAGTCGAAAATAACGTCCCCAGATTTCGCTCGGTTTTATGAATTCAAGATGACGACCTCTCAATCTAGGCAACGGCACCAGAAACTAGAGAACTGTAAGCATTCGGCTTTCAAAAATCGCGTAAGTTAAACTATATTCAAAGTACATTTTGATCTCCGCCCTTTTTCTCCGTGAGTATTTTTCTCGCAAGAAGGAAGTATTTTGGCTGACGTATAAACTCCCCCCCACTACCATCGGAAAAGGGCCAAAAAAATTGGTGACATTGCCTCTTTAGTTCCCCCTAAATCGCCGTTGACGTACGATTTAAATTAAGGGCTACACGCACAACTGTATTGAATTAAAGTACTGCTGGTTGACGGGTACATGTAAGACTTAAATCTAACGAGTGGCACAAAATTTTGATCTTCTTTTGTAAGGCGCCAAATTCAAATTCATTCAACTCTCTCTTAAAGAACACCTCGCTAAAACGGACACCTTTAGTTGGTCCTTGCCTTTCTTTACTCCCTTCTGTTGAATATCTATAGGACGGACAATTCTCTAAGACGGACATTGAGTGCCGCACGTACAAGAAGAGTTTAAATACATTACAAGTTTTTAGAATTTGAAACTGTTCTGTTTGAGGAGATACAAAATTGACGTTTGGACAAAATTTATCATAAGCGTCTCCTTCTATGTGAAATATCGATCTATCATTTAAAGTTCAATGTCAATAAACCTTTAGTTGCCCACAGCTTCTACTCTGCCCTGATTTTGATGCTTACATAAAGGGAAGTTCTCATAGAAAGCATAGAAGTAATACGTTTTTCGTTCATGCCTCTCGGAAAATCTATAATGGATTGTAAGTTAAATCCGCGGTATCACTCTTGTAGGGAGTGACATGTCATACCGGGCATATTGTAGTCTGTAGAATTAAAACGCAAACTTTTTTATAGTCAAAGAGTGTTTTCATTATTTTGAATAACAGTGTTATAACATTAAATAAAGTAATGAAGTTCAGTTTATTTTTAGTGAAGTTGTCTTTATTACTTATTCGAAACTATTTAAAACAAATTGTGCGAGTTAGAGTAGGTTAATGATGATCACAAACGACAAACGTAGAACATTTAGGCTGAGGTGCAAAAACTTGTTAGGTTAAGCTAGAAAAACCTCATACAGACCTCTGAAACTTGTAACATCTTGGTAAATCCGTGTAAAAATCAATGAAATCAATGCATGTAAACATGCTGGGAGGCATTAGGGACACGTCAACTAAATTTATCCGGGAATTATTTCGGTATGTCGTGTGGTAGACCGATACTACCCAGCTCTTATTATAAGAATGGCAGTTGCCGATAACTTTATCACAATGAAGATGCAATTTTCCCGTGTTAACTTTGTTGACCATGACAACAAATTTTGGACCAAATCATGACCGCAAATACTCCCTTTTCGTTCAAATCGAGTTTATTCAGTCGTCTGTGCCCAACGTACAATACACATTTCCTTTTTTGTGAAACTACTTATGAGTTTTTGAGTGGGAATATACGCAAACGAAGTAATAGCCCAATAATTATACTGACGGTGAATGTTAGATGGGTCACCCTCCTCAGCGAACACGAACACTCTTTTATTTTGTTTTCTTCAGGATGATAAATTTTTAATGGCCAAATTTCAGTTGGAATAAATTTGTCGTCAGTTCTTTTTCAGCAGCCTTACCAGTGTCTTGGCAAAATACCTATCTCCTTACTTTGTATATACACCACTCGGTATTGGGACTACAGTTGACTCTCTCGTAACGGACACCTCTGTAAAACGGACACCCAGAGCTGGTCACTGTCTTTACTTTCTTTATCTGACTCTCTATAGGAAGGACATCTCTTTAAGACGGTCCCAGCGGTGTCCATCGTTGAGAGAGTTGACTTTATATACATATAAAAAACTACTTCGAACTTTCTCTTCGAAGAGAATAGAGTTCATGAAAAGCACAATGTTCAATTGATAAAATTGTTATACAAGTGTTACAAGAACGCACCAGTAACTGTGTTATTCACAATGCTGGGAAGACGAAAAGAAAAAAAACATCTAAAATATGTTACACTATTTTACAAAGTCAAGTCCGCTTGTTATAACACCTCTCATTAACCTTGATGGTCGCCGTGGCTTTCTCCTCGGTAAGTGAAATTGTTCTTGTCTGTGGAAGAGACCTTCACTTCGTACAAGACACCGGACGGCAAAAGCTTCTGCATCTCCTTCCAAATGTATATTGAAACATTCTCCGTTGTACTGATTACGTTCTTGAAGTGAGGAATATCTAGATCCAAATTTTTGTGATCCAGTGGATCAATGACTGACTTGAGATGCTTGGTCAGTTTACCCAGATGCATAACCATAGAGGTTTTATGATCCTGTTTTCCGCGCAGCGTGATTTTTACTCTGTAGTTATGCCCATGTCCGTTAGGATTGGTGCATTTTCCGAACAGAAATTCGTTTTCCTCTTGACTGAGTTGTGGATTGAAAAGCCTATGACTGGCGCTGAATGTTTCTTTTCTTGAAACGTACACTATAGGCGCTGGGGTAAAGCTATGAGCCATGTTGATTGCCGCATTCGCTGATTAACAAAATGTCCAGTGAGTAGTTTGATAACTTTTTTTTTTTTTCCCAAAGATTGAGCACTTCTTATAATGAAATAAAGAAGTAAGGAGGAGGATAACGAGTTAATTAACACTAAATCAATCGTCATATACACCTAACTAACAGTACGTTACAACAAGTGTTCATTAATAAGCGTTGATTTCATTCTCTCTGATATTGATGCAAGTGTGGTTAGGTTTCTTACTACAATAACGTCATAAGGACGGTCTTATAATGTTATATCCACATGCATGCGAGTTCAAAATATAAAGATCCATACGCTAATTGACCCATTATTTTAGAGGTGTTAATGTCTACTTTTTTTGTTGTTTCTCGTTTCTCCTTCTTTGCGGTATAGCACGAAACTGAAAAATGCAGCAATTCGCACAACGCCGTTTAGACCGCTTACGCAACTATAAGACGTAATCAAACAAAGCGCTCCTAAAGACAAAACATAAAGCAGTTTCAAGCATATTGTTCTTATGGGTGAGAAAACTGGTAATAACCGTAGAAATCGTAGTGTTTGGGTTAGGACGTGGATTGTTGAGAAGCAGAATAAGGAGGCATTTTGAAATAGACAGAGGAAACGAACTGTCGTTGGAGGACTCGTCTATCACAAAGAACAACTTAAGACCAATTGCAATCCAACAACAAGTTAAACAACAAGTTTATTTCTTCTGTAAACAGAATCACAATACATACAGTTGTTGGACACCCAAACTAACGAAAAAGCCAAACTAGCTGGGTGACCATTACGTCAAACGGCAAACGTCAGATTTAAGTTGAGAAATTCTTAAAATAGAAAAGTTGCAGCTAAAAACAATCTAAAACAATTGTTATAAACAAAAATATCGTGAAGTAACTCATTTTTGGGGTAGAAGTAAAGAAATTTACAGCTGATTAGGGAAAACTTGGTCACGTGGTACAAACCACGTTTACCGTTTGCCGTAAATAGGTGACGTCAGCGTGGGTATCACTATAAAGTGCGGTGTATTGTGTATATGGTAAGCTGTTGGAAACAATGATTTAAAGAGAAATTGTTGCCCCTTCTTAGCTGAAAGATAATTATATTTTTGCGTCACCACTCTGTTTCATGCGATTTTGTAGCGAAGTAAAAAGGAGCAAAAGAAGAAAGCTGGTCGTAATAATGAAGGCGTAACCTTTTTCCCAGCAGCGCTTAGTCCCAGTAGTTCACTGCTAAACCGTGCGGTGTCTTAATTGTAAATTGTTCTCACTATCTGTGGTCTCACTGGTCTGGAGCCTACAGTTTCTGACAGTCAGAGCAACCTATAGCTTATTATTCAAGCAACTATCTGTAAGCAGATGGGTGTCAAAGATGAATTATCTGTAGGTAGGCACGCAATGCATGGTTTTCAGCAGCAAAGTCAAGTTGACGGGTAGCGAAAGGCATCTTTGCTCACGCGCGCAAAGAAATTACCAGCTGTTGCAAGGACCACTTGGACAAACAGCAGCGAGGAAAAGCTGGATCTTTGTGTAGTTTCATGATCAGCAATATAGAATAGCACTTAAAATTGAAGGCAAGGCTGATCGGACAGGTATAGATTGGTAATTAATTTGCCCAATATTTCGACTAGACAAAACTAGTCTTCATCAGGGGCTAAAAAAGGTAAGTGAGTATAGAATAAACGGTTACAATTTTTAAAACAATACAAAAATGAAGACTAGTTATGTCTAGTCGAAATATTGGGCGAATAAATTAGCAATCTTCAGGTGTCCCATCAGGGCCTTGCCTTCAATTTTAAGAAAGTACCGCCCGTGCGCAACCCGCTCATGAAGTTCTGTAACTACCCGGCGGTGGTCTGCGTCTCCTGTTCTCGCACAATCCAGATAAGTTTAGTAACAGTACTTTTAAAGGGTACTTTTGTTGAGGATAAACCCTGCTTAAGTTGTTTTGGTGTCTAAAATTTAACCATGAGTTACAAAACAGAAAGTTACAGAAATTACTCAGCATTATTTAAGTTCAAATAAAGTGTACATGATCCGCCCATGAATTACTGGATTTTAAGTTTACTTGCGGCGCAGTTTTTCATATTTCAGACTAACGTCACAGCAAATCGCTCACGTTCAATAGGATTATTAAATCGTTACTTAAGTATTTCTCTTTGGTACATTCTCATTATTCGGGGTCATGAATGAGAAATATTTCAATGGAGCTTTTTCTGTCAGGTTTAATTTCCATGGAAACGGAGTACTTATAAGCTCAAAAAAAATTTAAGGGGGTGTTTGCGACCCCGCTCAAGTAAAGCAACATAAACGTTCATTTAGCTGATTTTGATTTTGAACGAGTATTACAACTTTTACACTTTTTTTAGCAGCAGTTTTAAAAACTAGGCATATATCATAGCATCATGCTGCAAAAATGTATATTTATGGATCTAAATTACCTTCTTAGAGGTAGTAGTAAGGCCTCGCCTGTCTATCATTTGTTTTAGACTCGGGCCTCTGATGTCTTGAAAACACCAAGGCTTTAAAATATTTTATTTGTGTAACTAAATAATATCATTTAAAATATGCTTAAGTATAAGCGTTGGTGTAAACAGGTCATTATTCAGGATTAGGTTATTTAAGCCTGAATTTAATTATATATTTAAACGATATAAGTTCGATATTGCTATGCAAAAATAAACTAAGATTCAACATTATAATTAGAAACTGTTCGTTGAACTTTCATGATGACACGTCAAAAACATGAGAAACGAACTTGTATCTAAGGCTATAAATATGAGACTGGTGGTCAAATCTTCCATTTGGCATATCAGGTACTTTTGTCCAGCAGTTTTCTTCGGGATTGTAGCATTCGACAGACTTCAAAGCAATGCCTCCGCTGTTAACACTCACACCTCCAAATACGTAAACCTTACCGGCATGCACCACGGCAGAATGTCTCATCCGGGAGCTCTTCATTGGAGGAATGTGTTGCCACTTGTTGAGTTTTGTGTCGTACACTTCACACGACTTTAGCACGTTTTCTCCATCACAGCCCCCACAGATGAGGATTTGATCATTCAATGATACTGCAGCGGCAGAGTGGCGCGGTTCATTCATGGGTTGAACACAAATCCAAACATCTAAGAAACAAAGAAAAAACTAATAAAATAACTAGCTTGTAGTCCCAGCTCATCAAAAACCAAAGGGAAGTGGTTTGTTTGTTTGTTTGTTTGTTTGTTTGGTTGAGAGAAAGCTGAATGTTCGACATAATTTGAAAGGTACAGGTACAAAACCAATGAGTGTCTTCCATAACTCTGGCAGACCTCCAAGAGATATGACAATTTTGCGTATTTTTTTTGGCCAGTCTGCCATGCGCCATCAGATCAAATTGTGGTAAATTCGAGGCTAAGGAAAGGTCGCAACACTTTTTTTGCAATTCTTTGGCTTGGTACGCATATGTCATACAGGGGCGTAGCTGAATAAGTCGAAGATAATAATAAAAACAATAATAAAATAAAAGAGATAATAGTAATAATAATAATGATGATGATAACAATACGCCTTTTAACATAAAAGAAAATTATTTTAAAAAGCAAAGTTTGACTCAACTCATTTAACCCTGAGTGTTTCTTTAAAATATGTTTCAGCTTAAAAACATACTTTTTTCCACATCTGAATGTCGGTTTCTAGCGAAGTGACGTGATTCATAAAATGATCTGTTTAGAGAGAAAGTGGGACAATGGTGCGCAGATAGCAAGCTTGAACGCGTTGTTCTCACCTCGGCCTCACCATCAATCCTTTAATTGTGCGTACCAATGGAAAATCCTGGCTACGCCCCTGTTATACCAAAACAAACCCTGACTGTATAAAAATCTTACCTTGCCGTATATTATAGCTTTCAACACTTCTAATTCCGTCTGCACTACCATGCGAATATGGAGTTTGAAATCCACCAATGGCAAACGCGCGTTCTCCTGACGTCACAAGACAATGCCCAGCTCTGGGAAATATCAGCGGTGACAACTGTGAAACGTTTGAGCAGCCATCACTGAATTGAACACAGGAGACCCGGGAAGTACAGCGGTTTGTTCTGAGGTCCACTCCTCCCACCAGCAACACTCCGCTCTCAATGGACGCTGCACAGAATGAGTCAAATTCCACGTCATGTATGGCTGGCTGGTGTGTGACACGGGTCCATGAGTTGGTTTCACCATTGAATGTCTCTGCGAAAGGAATCACAGGACCCTTGACACAAACGTCTCTCAGTCCACCGATGGCAAATATGTGGTCGTTTGAGGCCACCATTTGATGTCTTTAAAGGAAGGTAGGAAACAGCGATGGATTAAGAAATGAAATAAGTCTCCTAGTTCCTTATATTGAGCTTTTAAATTTTAAAACCTCCAATCAGATCAAGGAGGGGGAGAGACTACTTCACAGAATTTTTTTATATTTCACAACTTGCAATGCAGTTATCTAGACTTACGCTCGTCAGTAGGTATTCGGCCCAGTCTCCTCCACTTGAACTCATACACAAAAACCGTGACGCAGTCAGAAAGGCTAGGGAGGCTCATTTGATACACAAAGGGGACACATTATCTCCCCTAGGAATAATTAAAATAGGCGTGGCGAAGCTCGTTGATATACGAGACTATCTAGTCTCCTACACCAATGACAATCTATTGTTTTTGTTTCATATTTTCAAACTTTTATTTTAAACGCCTACTTTTAGTTTTATCTTCATATTCCTTTTAGCCCCTGAAGAAGGTTTGTTTTCAAAAAAGTATTAGGCAAATTTGCTTAAATATACAGCTATTTCAAAAAAGGTTGTAGGAGAGAATAGCGAACGGCGAATGTCGAACGGACGTTGCAAGACCGAGAGGAACTGTGGTTACGCTATTTCATATGCAAAATTTCATACGTTGCGTTCACCCTGCTTGAAAATCAACACCAACTATGAAAGTTTGTCTGAGGGTTCTTGACTCCGAAGTACAAAAGAAATTCACGCTTTTTTCAATTAAAAGACGTTCCTCGTTGCCTCTTATGAACGGCCTATTATCTCTGACTTTACATCGCCAGTCACAAGAACTTTAGAAATATAGCGCTCAACTGTTCTTTCAGAAACGCCCAAGAAAAATGAAACCTGAATGCAACTGAATGCTGAAGAACATGGACAACCATATAACCTGCCATCGAAGGTCTTCACTAAAAGGAGCGGGCATCATTGACTAGCTTAGATAGGAGATTATTTACCATCAATATGCAAAACCCTGGCCACAGTTCCTTTTGGTCGTACAATCTCCGTTCGACAATTAACAATTAATAATAATGCTAATAATAATAATAATAATAATAATAATACATTAATTATTTGTAAATAGGATTTTAATAGTAAGCATTGTTGTCAATAAAATTTTTTTCAAAAAAATAAAATAATAATAATAATACATAATAATTGATTTAAGAGGAGGCCACCATCACTAAGAGAGGTTTTCCGGAAGGTCCTCTATTAAAAGAAACTGAAACAACATTATTAATCCTACAATGAAATATTAAAGTGAGTAGCATAAAAATTAAGAACTTAATTAAAAATACGTACATAAAGCTAACGTAAGAAGGGTTACCTAAAAACCTATTCAAATTTCGTTTAAAAATCATGTTCAGCTTTGGTCTCTTAACTTCAATAAAGGGAAGCCCAATCACTGAAAGCTCCAAAATACGTAGTCATACATTTAATAGTTCATACATACCCTGTTTAGGACAAAACACTCAATTTTATTACCCTCTTCAGGCCAAAGGAAATGTACACTGTTTGTTTAGGACAGACTCGCGCAAAATTATATACCCTGTTTAGGACAGAGAGAAAGAATACCATACCCTATCCTAAGGTCTCGCCTACCCTATCCTAAGGGGGTCCCCACCCCGGGAAAAAATCCACGTCAGACGAGAAGCCTTTTCAGCAAAGTAGGTGCTGTTAACTTATGTCATAAAAGTCGCTTTTAGTAATATCTGTCGCAATTTGTAATAAAACGTGTAGTTTTTTGCATAACGGCTTTAAGTACACTGTACCTCGTAAAATTGTAAAAACAACGACTCAAATAAAGTATTACAGTATGTTCTTGAACTCACAATGTCAAAAGGCGAACTACAACTTTTAATAAAAATTCGGAATTAATGTATGTTAATTTCAATAAGCTGAATCTATTACATTATTAAAATACGCCGCCCCCAAATTTTGGATTTGAGGTTAACTCGTACTCATTCCTCTGGGGTGTCGTGGTTGCTCGTCTACGTACCGAGAAATAGAGTTACTAGAACCTTCCTTTAATTTGACAATAAAGGAACAAATGAGAAATCTAGCAAAGTTAACTTTACCTCCACCGAGGAACTTGCATGTTTGGTATTTGCGTCCACTTTTGCACAGCAGGGATGAAACAAATTCCACTGTCGAGGATGGTTCCTCTATCACAACCACCTGTTACCACAATCACTTCAACGCGACGGTAGGATTTTCTCGCATTCGTCTTCCAAGAATTGTTATTCCATGCTGTTATTTTCTTGCCATTTCGCCTATGGTGTTCATTAAATTGGTCTAATTTAACTTGAAAGTGTGATTGATGTATATAGGGCAAGCGAAGCAGTTCTAGAAGGTCATTAATGCAGCTTGCCCTACGTTCGGGGTCGTAATTTATCCAGTTCAGTGCGATATCCAGAAGCTGTCCTTCGTTTTCAATTTGAATGTCATCACTTGACAAAAACCTGATGACATCTTTCTTGCCTAGCTTCAAAAACGTTTCTGATTTAGCAAGTTCGGTAAACGTTTGGTTAATGTATTGCATGACAGCACCACGCAGGCCATAACAGGAATAAACATCAGCAATCGAGAAAATTGCCAAACAATTTTCAACGTCCATGATGCTCTCTAGGAACTGACAACAGGCTCCCTTCACTTTTTCCATGAAAAGAAAATTGGATGCTTCTAACAACTCAAGAACATTTTCAACGTGGATCTGAATCTGTCCAGTGTACATGTATTCTAGAAGCCTTTCCATGGCCGCTGCGCTAACACTCTCCACACTGACGGTTGTTTTGTCTTTCTCCATCATTTCCGTTGTAAACATGGCTAGAAAGAAGTTGCTATTAGCCGCAAGAACTCCTTTATGAGCTGGAAATTCTTGACCATCTACCATCAACTTGACATCGCATAATATTTTAGAATGTCTGTGCGCATTCAAAACTCTCAAAATCTCATTGTCATCCCCGTGAATTTCAAGGCTTGACTTGTGTGGCTTCTGCCTTAGTACCAGCCCCATCTTCTTGACTCGCAAACCTGTGGCCAAATGAAAATGATTTCGTTGTCATCCCCTTTAAATATCTGATGCCAAGTAGCAGGTGCTAATACCAAAGGTATTATATTTATTCTCTGTCAATAATTAATCGGGCTTGAAATCCTCTTATGATGTAAACTGGGGGTGTATAAAAGAGAATATTTTAATGGATATAAAATTAAAGTCTCTTATGGAATTTACTAATGTCAACTAAAAAGCGCAACTTCTTCAATATATTTAAGTACACTGGTGAACGATCCCTTTGACAATCAGCACGAACTGAGAATGAAATTGGCCTGAGTATATGAACTTGCCACTATAGAATATACCGGCCAATGCAAATTAAGTAAAAATGTTTCCTAAAAATAATGACACGCAGTGCGACAATTAGCAAAAAATAAACTTGTCGTTACAATTCACCCTATTTTTCGTGCAAGTTCCCACGTGCAAACTTCCATCACAATAAAACAATCACATTTAATATTTTAAAAAACCGTCATTTTATATTGCTGACTAAAATTAAAGTATGGTAATCTCTTCCCTTCTTCGGATAAAACTTCATGCGAAAAAACACATACATGCGGCACATAACTGTGAAAGATATAGTAGTCGGAAAATAGAATTTACACCAGAATATTTTTCTCGCGAAGTCGACCAGAAAAATAATAATAATACCTAGTCTGACATGATAATCTACAATCTACATTCTTCGAAATAAAAGAAGTAGAAAGTAGTTGAGTGAGTTTTGTGAATTCACCGATCAAAGTTTGCTGCAAATGTAGCCCTGACTTTAATGGTTGAGGTCCTTTCTTTTCAAATGGAGAATTGTACTTAAGAAAGAAAGGACGGAAGAAGGAAGGAAGACATAAGGAAGGAAGTTTAAAGATAATAAAGATGTCAAACATCATCAAGCAATTCAAGGCTTCACGCCAACCAGATGCAAATTGGTCGGAGGAACCGGTCAAAGGACATATAAGGTCGTAAAGAAAATTGGCGGGAAAGAAACATTCAGTTGACTATAATAATCGTTTTATTATTATCAATGTCATCACCACTATCAGTGATTTTTGGAACTAACAGTAAAACAATATAATAAAGCTATAAATAGAAAGTTTGAATTAAAACAAAAAAAATTGAGCTGGGAGCCTGCACGATTTTTGCATCCGTTCTAAATGTGTCCTCGCAAACTGTCAGTCAACATTTTTTATATGTAAGTGACGGCATAAGTTGAAGTGAAATAAGCTTTAATAGTTAGACAACGAAAACAAAGTTGTCGTGATCAAATAGACCCCTTGCAGCTAGCCATTCACGTGGAACAAAACCGCCGTGCTGGAGAGCAAAAGTCGCTCAGGGACAAGACTAACAAAGAAAATTACCATTTCAAATTATGCATGTCTTTTGCTTGTCTTGTCCCAGTACGACTTTTGCTCTCCAGCGTGCAAGGGGCCTATTGCGTAAAAATTGAGACAGTTTCGACTTCCCCTAAAAGTAAGTGTACCAAGCAGCACTTGCATTGTTATGCATTGATTAAAAATCACCATGATTGATCACTGTGCTCGGGTATTACTGATCTGAATAGACGCTTTGCCCCTCTACTAACTATGCTTTGCCTAAAAAGCTCGACTTCCTGTTTTCGGTTGCACTATGTATCATGCTTGGCAATTTTGACCACGCTGTATTATCATGGCTGATAATACAACTGGAAATATATACTGATAGCCTTCTTGTTATCAACTAAAATCTTTCAAGCTTACCTTCGTTTGAGTGAATGGTGAGCTTAAAGTTTGGCTTTAATGTAGAGAAGACAGTCCGAAAAGGCTTCCAACGAAAGCAGCGTGTTGAATAGTCAATGTTAAAAATAATTTAAAAAACTGCAGCGAGACGCGTATAAGCACTTCCTTTTTGACAGTACTTCAAGAATCCATTCTTTTAGACGTGACGTAAAGAATAATAGAAGAACAGCTGTTTACGCAACCCTCACGTAGTCTTTTACAGAAGCATTCGAATGGGAATGAAACCGGAACTACAAATTTAATAGCATGCTCAAGCATGTTTTGATCAAGGTATTTCCAGCGTAAACAGTGACGTGGATTTTGAGGAAGAATTTAGACCCCAAGTTGTAAACTTGCGGACAAATCGTTCTTCTGTTGTTGGCTGGTTAAATACTCAATGTGTGGCTTAATTTGCCCCAATTTTGTCACTAAGATCCCTTACGTTAAATCCTTTATCTACCGTACTTTCATAACCATCATCAATGCGCAATCAATAACGCGTACGGCTATCTGTTCGAAAATGAACGCGTTGACAGTTACCACAGTTGCTTGGAAACCGTCTTTTCCCGACTTTCAACCTACACGGTTTTTTCAAATTCGACGAAGTTTTACATCCTTTGAAAATGTAGAAAAAATCTAAAGCACGTATTTTTCCCTTTTGCCTCGCACATCCTATTTGAGCAACCAAAAACGAGCACTCCTTTCCTTGACTCGTCCTTCTTACCTTCCGCCATCTTGAAAGACTATTCTCTTAAGCCTCGTTTTCATTCAATCCGGAAACAGGATCCCAAACGGTCTTCCTTCACGCGCAGAGCGTTCGCGGTCCACCGAATCCACAGTTTTATAAGAAGTTAAAAAAGATCAAGAGATCTGTCCAAAGGCGGATATCACGATCTGTCAGGCAAAGACATATACACCATGTATTATTAGCGCTTCACACTAATGACGTCACTATAATTTCTAGTCCCTGCTGTTACTCAGACATTGAACCTGATTCATATGAGTTTCGTATGGAAAAGACAGGTTCGCCTGCAAATTTACATCGTCTTTGAAGATTTTTACCGTCAAAAGAAACAAAATCCAGCTAGGTTTCGATAAAGTATATCCGGAAAATAATTAACGTGTGCCAAGACAATGTTAAACATGGAAAAAACTGTACAGATGCGTGATTTTAATCTTAGTGCGGTGTCATTACCGTGAGTAAAATTATGTAACGGCATTTCACTAAGAAATATATGGAGAGCGGGGCGTCAAAGCTGTTCATAAAAAGGTGCATTTGGTTAAATTAAGAGGCAAAGGGCGCGCAATTTTTTTTCGAGTGCGAAGGCAATTAAGCTACTAAAGTAAAGTATTGCATGGTACCTACCTGGTCGCACAACGATCAATCTTATTTCAGATTTTGTTCCAGCTAGCTCGAAAATCCAAACAATCTGGATTGTCTAAATCCGAAAAAAGTTTGACTTAAGGGAACGCACCCTTTAAGACATACCTGCCGATCCGATTTCAGTAGCCTTCTTTGACCAGGTCGCTATATTTCCGATTTTAACCGTTTATTTGAGTTACTTGGACCAGGTTTTGCTCCCCATAGCAGTAATGCCTTTTATATATAAGAATGAAGCTCAAAAAACATTTTAAAAACGCTCATGTGAATTTTATGAACAATTTTCAAGTCGGAAACGCATGTTACCCATAAAAAGCCTTTGAGTTTCATGCAAAGTTTGTCACGCGGGGGTCCAAGGTGACAAAATCTATTTTTAATAATAGTGCAAAGCGCTGACTCACATAGTATTGCGTGCTGGCAGGAGCCCGTGACTCCTAGTGCTGGCGAGTAAGAGCATAAATACAAAATTGCAGAGTCACAATAGAAATACAGTAGAACCCTGGTAACTCGAACTCTGAAGAAAAACCAAAAACAGATCGAGTTAGCGAGGAATTCGAGTTATCGGGGTAAATTTCAGTGAAATTTTGATCAAAGGAAACGAAATTTAGTGCGAGTTAGCGGGGCCATTCGAGTCATTTGAGTTCGAGTTATCGAGGTTTTTTTGTACCATGCCACACTGAGAGCTAATTCTTATAAGCTTAACTAGTCACCTAGAGCAAGTGTGTATAGAACCTTTAAAAGAAATGATTAATGCAATTTTTGCATATTTACCTAAATGAGCCCTCTACACGTCACTTAAATGAGCCATGCTTTTGAGGTTCTTTTGACGTAGCCTTGACTGCGGCCTATCAGAGGGATCTGGCGTGTCCCCAGAAAACTTTGAAATCTAGAGGATCTGAAGCGGTATTTCCGGCATTTTTCACAAGGTTTCTCCTGAGAGGAAATATCAATATCCTTCTGAATGAGGATTATTTTTCCGAATAAAGTTTTAACATAAAAATTGGTTAATATCTCTCCTAGACAAATGGCCCTGGTATTTTCAGCTTCTAAATTTATGCGTAATGTTTATCGTTAAATGGGTTTATTCAATCTTTCTTAGTCGTCGAGTCTTAAGGCTTAATTTTTGTAGACTAGAACACTTTTATACGAACACTTTTTATGTAAAACCTGGAAGCATTTCAATCTTTTCAGGACAAAGTTCATTCAATACCTAATTGACTGTAGGGAAAAAAAGAATAGACTTTGCTAAAAACGTCATTTAAAAGTTTGGATGCAGTGAATTAAACAAGAGTAGTACATTTAAAGTTATTTTTTTGGTATGATATTTCATAGCTGGCCAGTGGTAGCTGATCAATTGTTAGAGAAGAATGTTGTCAATCAAGTTCATTTTGTAGCTAATGCGCTAGACACTTTATGATATTTACATGACACTCTCCTTGAAACTTCTTAACTGACTGAATTACAAGAAAGGTAAACTGATTAAAAGACTTTTTAAAGGAATGTTTTAGTCGAGAGTATATCAGATGATAGTAAAGACGTTGGACTAAGGCAATCATGGGAACGTATACGGTTGAAGAAGAACCTCTCATTGTTTCCGTGCCCAGTACCGCACAAGTATAATCATACTTTATATTTGCATTCAATCGTCAGGGATAAAAACCAGCAATTATATAAGTACCTGATTAAGTTCCAGTATTTCCAATCCGTCCCATCTTACTGCATAAGAGTACTATATAGATTTAGCCAAGCCCAAAGGCGAAGCGTCCGTTAATATAACACTTATAGCAACAATCTTTAAAATTAACGAATAAGCTTTAAACCATTGCAAAGAA